TTTAAATACAGTTCCTCATGTTGTGACCCAACCATGAAATTATTTTCGTTGCTACTTCATAACTGTAATGTTGCTACTGTTGTGAATCGTAATGTAAATATCTGATGTGCAGGATGGTCTTAGGCAACCCCTGTGAAAGGGTCGTTCGACCACCAAAGGGGTCGCAAACCACAGGTTGAGAACCGCTGCTCTACAGGGTATTGGGAGCTTGGATGGAGGGGAGGATGTGTCTCTTGATCAATGGAATAGCCACAGCCATTCCAAGCACCCCCAGCGTCTGCCCTATGACCCCTAAAGGAAGTTGGTGGAGAACTCCACTCTCCTCTTCCTGGATCCCACCGAAGGTTCCAGGGATGGTGCAGAAAGGTAATTCCACCAAGAGAAGCAGGGGCAGCCAACTCTTCTCACTCTGCCAGGAATTTGGTCTTGGGACCCCAAGAAAAGGAGGGGTTCTGGAAGTAGGTCTAACAGCAGCTTCCCAGAAGAGAATGACACAAAGTAGACACTCAGCAAGTGGAAACCATTATTGCTACAATCGTCCATTAAATGTGCAGGGATGGGTTGCCCAGTGGCCCCCAAGGATGTGTAGACAAACCCAAGGATACTGACATTCCTCTCTAGGCTGGCAGTCAAGGAAAGACACCTTCATCAAGGGATTTTTTGTGCCAGGTGCCAGGCACTGTGCTGCCTGCTTCACAGGTGTTGTCTCTTTCAGTCCTTCCAGCATTTTATCCTAATTCCAGCAAACCCCCTCCACGCCCTCACCTTCCCTCAGCCCCCAACCCCTTGCTGATGTTTTCCTGAACACTGCAGCCCATCTCTACCCCTGCCTCCTGTGAGCACTGATAAGAGTGCATTTGTCGGAGCAAATGCCTCCCTTCCCTCCTCCCTGATCCAGTTAGCATTTATCCTGCAGTTTTGTCTTTCTCCTCATGCACACTGTCAACTCAAGGACAAGTACCATGTCTCATTTTCGCCAGTCAAAGCACACAAGTTTATTGATGAAACATACAAATGTAGACTTGGGTGGATGAGGTTAAGTCAGCACAGAACATGGGAAGGGAGTGCACTTTTCTGATGAACGGGTTCACCATCCATCAGCTGGTGTAGAAGAAAGAGTAAACGAAAAAGAATTCGACGTATGCAGCAACAAAAGCATTTTCAGCACAAGCTCCGATATGTGTCTGGTCTCCACAAGACAGTCCGGCTTAGACAGGGAGACCACCAAAGGCAAGCATCCTTCCTGATGCTTTATCCACAGCTGGCAGCTGCAATGAGCCCTTTACCACAGGAAGAAGTAAGGAAGTAATTTACAATGCACATTACCTGTAGACTGCACAACCAGAAGTCACTCAGAGCTCAGTGGGAACCTCCACCCCGCCAATAATAATGTGGTCCTCGATTTAGCAAGTGTGACTTTCACCCCATGATGTGGTGATGGCTAAGGCTGGATCTTCTATAGCACCCTCTGCAGAGTCTTTAATGAGAACACAAGTGCGTGTTCCCCAAACGGGTTTTGGGTAGAGTTGGTCCCATTCTGTTTGGGATGGTCTTTTAAGAGGCCAGGGTGTCCGGGAGAACCTGTCCGTTTCCATTCCCGATAAAGAGGGACATGAATGAGAGCAGCATTTGGGGACCCAGCAATTCCCCTGCCAAGACTGGTTTTTCAGACAAACCCATCAACTGTTTCAAAACATGAACCTCAGCACATCCACTTCCCTCTGATATCAAAGGAAACCTCGGGTCTGAAACGGATTTGGCAAGCATGTTATTAATAACTGTCATGCTTATTAACAAATTTAATCCGGCCTGCTGCAGAAATGAGTTGCAGCAATGTGACACAGTTTCCCGACACACTTCACTGACGGACATCTTAATCTGGCCCTGATTTTCCACACCGGCACTCTCGCTATCCAGGGCACATAAAGCCTGCTTCACAGTGGGGTCGGGAGTAGGGATCGTGTTTCCAACAATGGAGAGGCTGGCCAAATGACTACTGATATTGTGGCTAAATGAAAAACCAGCATCCTTGGGCTGAGCAAACATTTTTCCCTGAATGAAAGGACCCTTGGAGAGGCCAAGAGCACAACTGAACATTTTAAATGGCTTAAGCTTCACAAAAAAAGTTATCATTTCCATTAGGCAAATGGTGATTCTTCTTTATTGAGGCCATGTTCTTTCGGGAAGCCTTGAGTGCTTACTACCTGCAGTTGATTTCTGCCTCATTCTCAGGACTTGCCTTTTCCTGTATCTTTGACTAAGGTCCAGAGCTCTTACCTATACTCAACCCTGTCTGAACCTCCCTATTTTTCTGTGTTGTTTTTTTTTTCTTAGTCTGGCTGTACCCTCTCATGATTAGCGGGTGAACACCAGCAACTTCTAGCCCTGACCTCCAGACATGCTTTCACAAAATAACTAATTTGTGTATATCCCACATCTATGACAAGTCAAAGAATGTTCCTACACTTGAATCGGCCATCTAGTTGTGATATTCTAGTAAGGAGATATTTGAACCATCTTTTCCTGTACACAAACTGCACTATCTGCAATCCAACATGGAACTAGGGGCAATGCAAACATATAAAGCTTTGATCTGAGTCTCCACAGATACACATGTCAAAAGTCAGGTTACAAGGGTATCAGTATCTCTCTTTTTTTGTTTAGGGTCTTAATTTAAAAATGTTTTTAGTCTGCTTTTTTCCTACCTTGTTGTTTTCTCAGGAGTATAACGTTTGATTTTCCCTTCACCAAAGTGAGAGGGGAGGAGAAAAAAGGCTGGGAGAGGGAGAAGCTCATTTGCTTCTAGACCCTATATTCTGACTCAGACATGCCTCCTGGATATCGCACTGTGTGGAGCACTTTCCTTTCTTCCTTGCCTAGAACTATGTCTACTGGTAGACAGACAAGAGAGAATAGAGATTAGGAGAAGTACATGTCCCCTCTCTTTAGAGTGAGAACTCTAGTTTTCAAATATCTCCCATTTATGCCCTGGCTGGTTTGGCTAAGTGGATAGAGCATTTGCCTTCGGACTGAAGGGTCTTTTGTTTGATTCCGGTCAAGGGTACATACTGTACTTTGGTTGCAGGCTTGATCTTAGGCCGGGTTGGGGCACATGTAGGAAGCAACCAATTGATCTCTCTCTCTCTCTCTCTCTCTGCCTCCCTCCCTCCTTCCCTCCCTTCCACTCTCTCCAAATATCTCCCATTTATCTCAGGCACACTTCCAGCCACTTTCACTACCCCTCCTTGCCCCCACAAATGCCCATCTTTTCAATTCCCCTGCCTCTACTCATTCCCTTGACTTGTATCTCTTCCCTTAAAGCCTCACTTTTCTGTTCCACCCCTCATTTGTGCCCCAAAGATATTGAAGGGCCCCCCCCAAAAAAATTAATTAGCATTAACGAAGGCTTTTCTAAAGACAGGAGTGGATAAGCGGGTTCTGATTTTGTGCTTGCCTCTACCACCCCCTTGTGACCAATTCAGGTCCTACATTTCTTTGAAGAAACCAGTTTCTACTAAAAAAAAAAATCTCTTGATCTTCTTCTTCTTCCTTTTCCTTGAGTTGTGCTGCCCCCTACAGACAGCAAACAATCAAATAGAGAATGGTTGGTGAACATTTAGTGCTGGGTGGTAGGTCAAAGTTCTTACCTTTTACTGATTCAGGACTCTGTTAAAGGATTCTCACCTCTCACTCCCAGATCCCAACATCAGCTCTCCCCCTACCCCATTTATAAAACTAAGATGAGCTGGTGGGAAGCCAGCATATGTAGGGAAAGCTGACTCTGCCCCTTCAAGCCTCTGCTCCCAACTCTCTCTCTTTCTTTCCGTCCAGCCATCAGCTCTTTATTGACCTTAGAGAGATGTGTTTGCAGCCAAGCTATCAGAAATAACCAGTGGTAACATTTTGGCAAGCATCATTCCACAAAACGTCATGTGGTATTTTTCTTTCATTGACTGGCTTATTTCCCTTAGCATAACGCTCTCCGGTTCCATCCAAGCTGTTGCAAATGGTAAGAATTCCTTCTTTTTTACAGCAGCGTAGTATTCCATTGTGTAGATGTACCACAGTTTTCTAATCCATTCATCTGCTGATGGGCACTTAGGCTGTTTCCAAATCTTAGCTATGGTGAATTGTGCTGCTATGAACACAGGGGTGCATATATCCAGAGGTTTTATTTCAATAGTTTATTTATTAAATTCCATGAGGCCAACGGGTACACATAAAGGTGCTCAACATTACTAATCACCAGGAAAATGCAAATAAAAACCACAATGAAATATCACCTCACACCTTTTATGATGGGTATCATCAAGAAGGCAAGAGCCCGGCTGGTGTGGCTCAGTGGTTGAGTGTCAACCTCTGAACCAGCAGGTCACCGTTCAATTCCCTGTCAGGGCATATGCCCAAGTTGCAGGCTTGATTCCCAGTGTGGGGTATGCAGAAGGCAGCCAATCAATGATTCTCTCTTATCATCAATATTTCTATCAATCTCTCCCTCTCTCTTCCTTTCTGAAATAAATAAAAATGTATTTTAAAAAAATAAGGCAAGAAATAACAAGTATTGGCTTGGATATGGGGAAAGGGAATTCTTGTGCATTGGTTGGAATGTAAATTGCCATAGCTATTATGGAAAACAATATATAGCTTCTTCAAAAAAATTTTAAAATAGCCCTGGCTGGTTTAACTCAGTGATTAGAGCATTGGCCCATAGACCTATGGGTCAGAGGTCTGATTCCCTATCAAGGACAGGTACCTTGGTTGCACGTTCCCCACCCCTGGTAGGGGTGCATGAGAGAGGCAGCCAATCAATGTGTCTATCTCGAGTTGATCTCTCCTCTTCCCCCACCCCGCTCCCTTCCCTCTACACTCGTTAGAAATCAATGGAAAAAATACCCTTTGGTGAGGATTAAAAATATATATTTTAATAGAACTACCAAAAGATCCAACAATTCCACTTCTGTGTATATGTCTAAAGGAAAGGAAATGAGGATCTCAAAGAGATATCTGCATCCCCATGTTTCATTCCAGCATTACTCAGAATAGCCAAGACATGGAAACAACCTAAGTGTTCATCAATGGATGAATGGATAAATAAGATGCTGTGTATGTATACAATTGAATGTTATTCAGCCATGAGAAAAAGGAAACCCTGCTGTTTGTGACAACTTGGATGAAACCTGAGGCCATAATGCTAAGTAAAATAAGACAGAGAAAGATAAATACTGTATGATAACACTTATATGTTGAATCTAAAAAAGCCAAACTCAGAGAAAAAGAGATCGGATGTGGGGGCATGTGGGGGAGATATCAGTTAAAGGCTATAAACTTACAGTTATAGGATTAACAAGTGCTGGGGATATAATGTACAGCATGGTGATTATAGCTCATACTACTATATTATATACTTGAAAGTTGCTAAGAGAGTAGATATTAAATGTTCTCACACACCCCAAAAATTGTAATTATGTGACAGGATAGAGGTGGTAGCTAATGCTATGGTGGTAATAATTTTGCAATATAGAAATGTATCAAATTAATAGGTTGTATACATTAAACTTACAGCTATATGTCAATTATATCTCAATAAATCTGGGGGAAATGCCACTAGTGTATGGCAAAATGACACCTTAGAAAAAGGAAAACCAAAAATTACCTACCCTCTCTTTTAGCTAATTAAGGTTGTTCACTTTGCCCGGCTGCAGTGACTCAATGATTGAGTGTCAACCTATGAACCAGGAGGTCACAGTTCAATTCTGGTCAGGGCACATGTCCGGGTTGTAGGCTTGATCCCCAGTGGGGGGGGCGGGTGGTGCAGGAGGCAGCTGATCAGTGATCCTCTCTCTTCATTGATGTTTCTATCACTCTCTCCCTCTCCCTTCCTTTCTGAAATCAATAAAAATGTTTCGTTTTGTGTGTGTTTTTTTTAAAAAGGTTGTTCACTTTTATTTATTAACTATGTTCCAGCACTATTTTAGCACTTTATAAACATTGCCTCATTTAATCATATGATATAAGGACTCATTATCCACATCTTGACAACTATCATTTTAACACATTTCCCTTTTTGGTCTAAAAAATTTTCCACTCAGGAGAGAGACCAAGATGGCGGCATAGGTAAACACCAGAGACTGCTGCCGCAAACAACCACTTCAAAAATACAACTAAAAGACGGAACGGACATCACCCAGAACCACAGGAAGGCTGGCTGAGGAGAGACTCTTCAACTAGAAGGAAAAATAACAGCACACCGAGGCTCAGAGGAGGCGCAGTGTGGAAAAAACTCAGGTGCGGAGGTGCGCGCGCAAAGCGGGCTGGTGGCTGAGAGCGCGGTTGTCGTTTTCGGTCAGGGGGGAGTCTCAGACTCTGAGCTCCAGATACGGGCGAATCGCTGGGGACTCGGACCCAAACGGGAGAAGCGGGAGTGTCTGGCATCAGTTGGAAGGCAGCTTTCCCTCCGAGGTTTGCAGCGGTTCCGGGGGTTCTGAGAAGCAGAGCCTCTGGGAACAGGACTGAGGGCACCATAACGGCTCCCTCCGCCCGCCCTGTTGAGCCCGCCCCGCCCAAGCCCTGCGCAGAGCCATTTGCCGGATCGCCTCAGGCAAAGGCTAGATTAGCACCTCCCCAGAGGACAGAAGTTTTCCGCGGCAGACACAGCTGATTCACACAGCCAGTCGGCCTGGTGGTCAAATCCCTCTAGTATTAACTACAACAATCAAGGCTCAACTAGAACAAGACTGCGCACAAAGACCACTAGGGGGTGCACCAAGAAAGCATAAAAAATGCGGAGACAAAAAAACATGACAGAAATGGAGGATATAGAGCTAAAAATCGCAATTTTGAGGGCTTGCAAAAATGTGCTAGAAGCTGTCAATAAACTTGAGGAGAGAGTCACGAAAACTAATGAGACCCTCGATGCTATGATAAAGAACCAACTAGAAATTAAGCATACACGGACTGAAATAAAGAATATTATACAGACACCCAATAGCAGACCAGAGGAGCGCAAGAATCAAGCCAAAGATTTGAAATGCGAAGAAGCAAAAAACACCCAACCGGAAAAGCAAAATGAAAAAAGAATCCGAAAATACGAAGATAGTGTAAGGAGCCTCTGGGACAGCTTCAAGCGTACAAACATCAGAATAATAGGGGTGCCAGAAGATGAGAGACAGCAAGATATTGAAAACCTATTTGAAGAAATAATGGCAGAAAACTTCCCCCACCTGGTGAAAGAAATGGACTTACAGGTCCAAGAAGCGCAGAGAACCCCAAACAAAAGGAATCCAAAGAGGACCACACCAAGACACATCATAATTAAAATGCCAAGAGCAAAAGACAAAGAGAGAATCTTAAAAGCAGCAAGAGAAAGAGACTCAATTACCTACAAGGGAATACCCATACGACTGTCAGCTGATTTCTCAACAGAAACTTGGCAGGCCAGAAGGGAATGGCAAGAAATATTCAAAGTGATGAATACCAAGAACCTACAACCAAGATTACTTTATCCAGCAAAGCTATCATTCAGAATTGAAGGTCAGATAAAGAGCTTCACAGATAAGGAAAAGCTAAAGGAGTTCATCACCACTAAACCAGTATTATACGAAATGCTGAAAGGTATCCTTTAAGAAGAGGAAGAAGAAAAAGGTAAAGATACAAATTGTGAACAACAAACATGCATCTATCAACAAGTGAATCTAAGAACCAAGTGAATAAATAATCTGATGTACAGAATGAACTGGTGATTATAATGAATCAGGGACATAGAAAGGGAATGGACTGACTATTCTTGGCGGGGAAAGGGGAATGGGAGATGCGGGAAGAAACTGGACAAAAATCGTGCACCTATGGATGAGGACAGTGGGGGGGGAGTGACCACTCAGTATGTGCTCCAAACAAATCTATATAAACCCTACTCATCCTCCCATTATATCTAGCATCATTTCATTTATAACCTAGGCTGCAATGAACATTTTTCTTTCCCAACAATTACACCAAAAATCAACATACAGAGTGTCTGAAAATGTATACATACTTTAAATGATTATAAAGTCAATATTTATTAACATACAGTTCATTTTCAAAATGGAGTGAGTTATCAGCTGTTAAAGTATGTATACATTTTTGGGGATGTTCTATATATTACAGATGAGAAAATAGAGATGAGGAAAAAGATTAGAATATTAAATTCATGCATTATCCTATTACTTATAACCATTCTTTACTATATAGCCTTTCAGAAGTTTTAATGCATGTAAATGTTTTATATTTCCTTTAAAAATATACTATGTATACAGTCATTAACTGGCTTTTCCACTTAAGATTATAGACTAAGCCCTGGCCAGCAGCTCAGTGGTTAGAGCGTTGGCCTGGGCACCAGAAGGTCTCTGGCTGATTCCAGTCTAGGGCACATACCTGGGTTGCAGGTCCATTCCCCGAGTGGGAGGCAACCATTCAATATGTCTCTGTCACATGGCTGTTTCTCTTTCTCTCCCTCCTTCACTCTCCCCTCTCTCCCTCCCTCCCTTCCACTCTCTCTAAAAATCAGTGGAAAAAATAACCTCATTTCTCAGAGGAGGATTAAAAGAAAAAAAGATCATACACTGAACTTTTTCAAAGTAAATGAGAGTAAATGTTCATCAATGCTTTCAAGAGCTGCACAATGTTTCAATGTGTACACATATCCAAATTTATTTAATCAAGTGCCTCTTTGGAGACACTTGGCTCATTCACAATTTCTCACACTTCACACTTTTATACAAGCCAATTATTTGGTTATTTCCCAAGGATAAATTTTTTTATAATGATATTGGAAATAATACTTTATTCCAAGCCTGTGATTCAGAGGATTGTGTAAAGAAGTTACTCTAATCTAAAGGTCTCCGCACAGTGGAACACACCTGGTGACTCCAGATGACTGACAGGCCTCTGAGCAGCCACGCCTTAGGAGGCCTGCAGAGGGCATTAGACCAGGTCTACAACAGCATCTGCTGCAGTACCATCATGGGGGAGATTCTGGAACATTTCTTCATTTTTGTAGGGCTGCTAATGTGCTTGGTCCACCAGGTAAAGTGGGTGAGATTCTCCAAATGTATTTTTCTGCATCTTTTCCCTTTGAGAGCAGAGATGTAACTCTAAGGATAAATGTCTACCAGTGGAATTACTGGATCAAAGAGCATGCAAATCTTGAGGGCTTCTGAAACATGTGTCCAAGTGGACCTTGTACCAGTGTATGTTCCCACCAGCACACTTTGAGAGTGCCCCTCCCCCCACACCCTTACCACTCTCTAGGTTGGGAGAGAGGTGGATAGTCTTCAATATGAATGCCAACAGCTCTCTCGATGGTTCCTGCCTCAACCAACCTTATAAAAGAAATCTGATAAAAGCACTAAAAATTATTATTTCTGCTATTACATTTTCTTATTTCAAAGTAGTAACTAATCCTTGCTCAGTGGTTAGAGTGTCAGCCCTCCCACCAAAGTGTCTCCGGTTCGATTCCTGGTCAAGGGCATGTACCTGGGTTGCAGGTTCCATCCCTGGCCCCAGTCAGGGAGGCACCTGGTCGATGTGTTTCTCTCACATTGACGTTCTGCCCTCTCTCCCCCGCCCTCCCTCCCTTCCAAAAAGAGAGGAAAAAATATAGTAACTAATGTATTCACTTATAAAGATAACAAAGTTGGTCAAGAAAGAGTTCATTTTCCTATCAAATGCCTCAAGACTCTAAAATAAAATTGTCCCTCCCTGTAGTCCCCAGAATAGGTCCCAGCACTTCTTCGTTCAAAGGGTCTCTCACTTGCTTCCTCTCATCCTTCCCATGACCAGCAGTGACATTTCAGACTTTCATCATCTTGTACTTGGACTATGGTGGTAACTTCCTAACTGATGTTCCAATCTTCAGTGGCTGCTCCTGTCCCCTCCCCAACTCAGACCCATCCTGCACCAAAACAGCCACGTTATTTCTTTTCATCCTGTCATTCCCAGGGTCATGAAAGGCTTTCGTGTCATTCAGGGCTGGATGGAGTGATATGCAAACACCTCAGTGTAGCAATCAGGGACCCTCCATGAATGCGACTCACTCCCACTGCTCAACTATATTTCTCACCACTCCCTCTTCCACACTTTGTACTCAGGCAGGCCAGCCTTCTCTCTGGAGCAGCATTCCCACCTCCATGCCTTTCTTCCCACCATTCCTTCCTTCTCCAATGCTCTTCTGTCCTGTTTTTATCCTATCCTTCAAGCCCAGCTTACTTAAGCTTCCTCTCCTCTTAAAACTTTCCCTGTGCTCTGTTACCTACAAAACTTTCTGCCACCTCTAAGCACTAATAGGAAGCAGCTGGCCATGATGAATGGCTCCTGGTTTTGTTAACTTTTTGTTTCCATACATCTTGCCTTCTCAAATACACAATAAACTTAAGAACATGATAAATTTCTCTCTCTTTTTTTTGCTGGTTAAAACACATAACTTTATTGATAAAACACAAGTCTAAGATTAACAAATATAAACCAATACAAAAGTGTAGGTTATTTATGATTAGTTTGCTGTCAGTTTAGATAAAAGAGTAAAAATATCTCAATCTAGGTAGCAAGATGGAATCAACTAAGTGCTTTGTCTGTACAAGCTTTAGTATTCATTTGGCATCCTTAAAACGGTCCAGCCTAAAACCAACCGTCACAGCCAGCATTACTGTTGATTTGTGATATTCATTGTTGCAAAATAGCGGCTGAAAGTATCTCTATGCCATATAAGCACAGTGAAAAACAAAGAATTTGCAAAATGTATTGTTCCCAAGTGCAAACTTAAAAAACATATCTCAATTATTATTTCAGACAGACCTCCGATTAGAGTTTGGTCAATACTTTGAGAACTTTTACTTTCACCACCAGATCACTGTGATTTGCTAATGCTTTGATTTTTTTAACACACACCCCAGATTCTTTAAATAAGAAAAAAAGTGAACTTCTGCTAAACTCTTTCCTGGACGATGCAAGCCCTTCATTGTTTATGTTATCATTTATATTCTCAAATAGGGTTAGGACATTAAGAAGAATCTCTCTGTCCCATTCTTTATTAAAGAGGGAAATCAATTCTGATGGTACTTTACAACTGACCAGCTCTCTTGTCATGGCTGGATTTTCAGTAAAGTTTATAAGTAGTTTCATAATCTGAATCTTGGTGAAGTAATTTCCCAGGAATAACAAAGCAAAAAAGTCTGGAAAAGAATAGGAAAGCAAATGTTGGTAATGATTAGTCACAGTCATGTTGGTTAGCAGTCTTAGTCCAGCCATCTGCACAGCTGAGTCCAAGCAACAAATCATGGTGTCATCACACACTTGACTGATATACGTCTTAATCTTGCCCTGATTTTCAGCATTCACACTCAAGTTATTAAGAGCATTGTAAGCCTTTTCTCTAATAATGGGATCTTTCGTTTTTATCAGTTTTGCAATAATTGGGAGACCACCCAATTCACGAATGGCATTTTGGTTAAATGAATATGCTGCATTGTTACCGAGAGTGACCAAGGCTACTTCTTGAATAAAAGGATCATTTGTTCTTTCTAGGATGTTAAGGACCTTTTGAAGGTCTGTAGCGCCTAAAATATCATCAATTTTATAGGGAAAGTTGAACTTGCCCCTGCGAACAGGCCATGTTGTAGCTGGAGTCCTGGTGCTCTTAGCTCGGACCTTTCCCTTGGACTTTCCACTTGCCCTGCTCCTAGCCCTAGCCCCACTCCTGGTGGGGTGGCAGCCTCCACCCCTGACTCCTGGGCAGGGTAAACTTGATGCAAAAGTCCTGGTCCCAGAGATGGTACCCAACCTGGCCCCTTTGCCTGCCTTTGCACTTGCCTGTTCCTTCAGTGTGCTGAAAAGGGCCTTGGCCTTGGCCTCTAGGCCACCACCTCTCTGGGTTCCTGAGTGGACTCCCACTTTTATATCTGGACCACTCTTGAGTTCCATGCCCACTTCAGCTTTGGCTTTTGAGTCACCCTGAAATCTAGCTCTGCTCCCCACCACAGTATTAGCTCCTTTCTCAGCCTCCACCCCAATTTCTGTAATATCACTAGATTCCTCATCTTCGTCATCATCATTGTAGTTCCAGATTTTCTCGCTGTCATCTCTTCCCCAGGTCAGTCTGTATACGCAGTAGCAGGCACCAGCCCCTATCACCATGCCAGCAGCCACACAACCAGCCTCCCGAGTTCGACCCATACTGGAACAAATGTCTAAGCCGAATGCCTGAGCCGAATTTTTAACCCAGGCAGAGCAGGCTTGCTGTGGCTCAGAATTATCTGAAGCCTGGATGGAATCTTTAGCTATAGCTGGCAGGCTCTTCAGCAACTGCAGATACAGCAGCACCTAGAAAAGAAGGAAAGACTTGAGGCTTCAGTCTCCTCCTTTTATGCCTTTGCATGCAGACAGACTAAACTAGGGGAAGACAAAGGAACGGGGACATGACAGGGTCTCAGGGCTAGATCACTGATCCCTTTCCTACACAGGGAAGTTAATTTTGAAAAATTTCCCCAGATTCTCCAACCTCATGGTCAATTTACCTCACCCCAGTTCATTCAATTTAAGGTATCTTATCAGTTGCCTACCTCCTCTGCCCTTCCAGGTGTCCTGGGGGTAGTGGCACTTCCACATACACCTACACAGGTTCAGACAGTTTCTTCCTTTTCCTTCTTGCCTGGAAGTGCACTGTATTCTGCAAACCTGCATACATAAGGAGTGGGGAGGGGATTGCTGAGAGCTTACCCAGGTCATAGGTACCTCTCTGGAATCCCTGACCCTAGTAGCAGTAGAGCAGTATTTCCCACCTAGTTATGCTCCTCTCCTCACAGTGCTTTGAAATTCATTAGCTCACCCCCTCACCTCCTCTGATCTCTGATCTCCTCCAATCCTCCACCCCACCCCCACCCCTGAAAATCACTTCCTCCAAAGGTGATACCACACATTCCCTTCCCTAACAAAATCAATGGGGGTGGATTGAGAATGTCTAGAAGCCAGACAAGGGTAAAATGAACAAAAGTCTGGAATTTCACCCTTGCCTCTGCTACCCCCACCATCTCAAAGGTACCAAGACCCTCCTACTCAACCCATTATGCCAATTTCCACTGTTCCAGAGGAATTTCCTTCATCCCTCAATTCAGTTTCTGCCTCCACCAAACCTAAGGACTAACAGCTCTGGGACTGAGTGCGTGATGGGCAGACCAATACCAATTACTTTTTGTACTCCAAAAAGTAATTTGGAAAAAGGTCTTCCCTACCCCCACCCCAGAATTCTTGTGACACCCTCCCACTTCCAGCCACTTCTTTCTCAGTTTTATACCAGCAGAGAACTTTCTTTTGTAAACTCTGAACTGGTATAAAGAGGCAGAAAGGAGGGGGATGCAGAGGAGGCCCACTGGAGTTTGCAGTCTCCACCATTCTCCACCCCAAGAGCCCCCAAACAGTGCCAGCATCCTCACTCTGACCTACTTGTTTCTGGACAATGTTCCTCTTCTTCCTGCTTTTGGGTCGGATTGGCCTTCAGGCACAACAAGATCCACAGACACAGACTGGCGACTTGGCAGAGATGGATGGCTAGCGGACAGAACAGCACTTCAGAAAGTCCCAATACCAGCTTTTACAAATTCAAGGTCCTGGTAGTCAAATGGATTTTAACTTCTGTTTTCTCATCCTACCCCCACTTCTCAGGACTTCTCAGGCCTCAGCCCTCTT